TCTGTGAGTATAATAAACTACCTTTTTAATGGCAGTTGTTTCCCAATCTGTCGGCCTCACCAAACCTAAATAACACTTATTAAAAAGGCTGAGACTCCACAAGATTTGTGCATACAAATGTTCTCATGGGGCTTCCCTGGTGGCGCAGTGGTTGAGAATCTGCCTGCTAATGCAGGGGACACGGGTTCGAGCCCTGGTCTGGGAGGATCCCACATGCCGCGGAGCAACTAGGCCTGTGAGCCACAACCACTGAGCCTGCGTGTCTGGAGCTTGTGCTCTGCAACAAGAGAGGCCGCGACATGAGAGGCCCGCACACCACGATGAAGAGTGGCCCCCGCTCGCCACAACTAGAGAAAGCCCACGCACAGAAACGAAGATGCAACACAGCCAAAATTAAATAAATAAATAATTATTTTTTAAAAATGTGCTACATATATACAATGGAATACTATTCAGCTATAAATAAGAACAAAATAATGCCATTTGCAGCAACATGGATACAACTAGAGATTATCATACTAAGTGAAGTAAGTCAGAAAGAGAAAGACAAATACCATATGATATCACTTATATGTGGAATCTAAAATATGTTACAAAGGAACCTGTCTATGAAACAGAAACATAATCAGGGACACAGAGAATAGACTGGTGGTTGCCAAGGGGGAGCGGGGTGGGAGAGGGTTGGATTGGGAGTTTGGGATTAGCAGAAACAAACTGGTATATATAGAATGAATAAACAAGGCCCTACTGTATAGCACAGGGAACTATATTCAATATCCTGTGATAAACCATAATGGAAAAGGATATGAAAAAGAATGTATATATGTGTATAACTGAATCACTTTGCCGTACAGCAGTAATTAACACAACATTGTAATTCAACCATACTTCCATAAAAAATAAATTTAAATAAAAAAGAAAAAAAAAGTGTGAATTAAGTAGAATGCTTTCAGCTCCAGTAGCAAACACCTGATTCAAACTGGCTTACACAATGTGGAAACATATCTCACAGTGCAGGAAATCCAATGGGAGGGCAGAGTGGTTAGATGCCCTGGTTCAACAATGTCATTAGGGACCCGGGATGCTTTCATCTCACTGCTCTGCTGTCCCCATCATTGACTTCACACCAAAACTGGCTCCACTCAAAACACAAAATGACTGCCACAGGCAGCATACTTCCTTTTGCCATCCAACAGACAACGGTAAAACTGATTTCTCTTTCCCAGAAGCCCTAAGGGGCATTGGTGGTACAGTGGTGAGCATAGCTGCCTTACAGAAGTCCTAAGCAAGCATTTCCTTGAATCACATTGGTCTAATATGATTTAGGCCTGTTCAACACAAACAGATTTTTGCCAAGGGGGAATGGAATGACCATGACTGGATTAGATTAAATTTTTTCATTGAGTTAAATGTTGGGGAGAAGACCATAATGCCTACCATAGAATCAGATGACTCTGGGAATGAATAAGAGAAAAAGAATAAGGATAGAACTTTCAGGAACACCAGCATTTATGGGTTGCGCAGAGGAAGAACATGTGAAGTAAAGTGAGAATCATTAAAGAGGAAGTAAGGGAGGGTGGGAGGGAGGGAGACGCAAGAGGGAAGAGATATGGGAACATATGTATATGTATAACTGATTCACTTTGTTATAAAGCAGAAACTAACACACCATTGTAAAGCAACTATACCCCAATAAAGATGTTAAAAAAAAAAAACACTTTGAGGGTGGAAAATGAATTAAATAAATAAATAAATAAAATTTTTAAAAAAAGAGGAAGTAAGGGAAATGGGAGTGGGTAGTGTGTTCTTAGATAACTAGTGGGAAGGTTCCCCAGCTCTCAATTATTCCACTATTTCTGGGACTGCTCTGCAACACAGTGGTGGTCCCCACTGGCCATGCCTGGAGTCCTTGACACTACCACCCATCCCTAATGGTTTGACCCAGGGCTAGAACTCTGTCCCAAGGTGAACTGACAATAGCGCTGTTTCCCATTGTACCAATCATGGACACTGACCCAAGAGTCCTCGATTACAATCATTCTTTGGGATTTTTCTCTCTGGTGCTGAGGATAGATTCAATCTTTCTCTCAAAAGGCAATGCCATTAAAAGAGAAGGAAAAAGAGAAGAACTTAGTGGTATGGAATTCCTGATTTGTTTTCCTCGAGGCCTGATTTCAGTGTGAAACCCTGAAAGCTACAATTTTATTCTAAGCAAGATGAGCTCATGGAGGAGACTTTATTGGTTGCCCACGTTAACCTAAAACACTGAAACAGCCAGTTGTTTTACCAGCAAAACAGGTTTATTCAGGAGCAGCAAAGAATTGCAATTTGGGACAAACAACTATTTGGGGAACCACATGCAAGTGGTTCAAAGGAGAGGAAACTTTATGGAGAGGGGAGAGTTGGGAGGGGCAAAAAAATCTATTGGAGGATACTGTGAGTTTGAAGTATAGTGGCTTTTCATTGGCTGAGTTGTGCCAGTGTCTTATTGGCTGAGTTGTTGCCAAGCAAGGAGAAAAATCTGTATTCTTCCAGCTGGCAATATAATTAAGTAGTGTCGCTTCCTATTGGAGAAGCAAGGTACCCTCTCTTCCTGTTGGGATCTGTACTGATGCAAAGTGGTACATGCAGGAGAGCTCCACCTTCTGGTCTTCTGACTCCATTTTACTTAGGTTTCCCTTTATTAACTTGTACACCTGTCAATCTCAAGCAGAGATTGAGAAAACGACTTGGGATCAGGGTGGTCATTTAAGAGGTAATTCTAGGAAGCAAGAGTGAGGATCTGAAAAGAATGAGACAAGAAAGAAAGAAAAGCCAAACTAATGATGCACGGGGCTTCCCTGGTGGCGCAGTGGTTGAGAGTCCGCCTGCCGATGCAGGGGACACGGGTTCGTGCCCCGGTCCGGGATTCAACCAATCCCAGATGGTGTAGTACTGTACTATTTACTGGGGGGGAAAAAAAACAAACAACCCTGCATATAAGTGGACATGTGCAGTTCAAGCCCGTGTTGTTCTAGGGTCTACTGTATGTTGAAATATAGTTATCAACATATTTTAAAAAACAGATTAGGCTAGGTTCCCCCAGGAAATATACACCAATTTAATATAGTTGTTTTTTAAATGCTGTCTTGATCCAGTTTTGAGGCTCTGGCTAGAGGCTGGTCAGTTCCCTGAGTTCAGCATCTAAGCTCACACCCCCCAATCACCTCCCTTTCTGGGATCTCACACTTGGGGCCACTATCCACCTGCCCTAATCACCCCAGGGCCAGGTACCAAACAACTGGGGACAGCCCCTATGCTCCAGAGCCTGCTGAAATTATTCACATTAGCCAATTCTAAACCTGTTTGCCCTGCTTTGCCCATCCCTTCTTATGGAAACCATAATAAAGGCTCATGCCCACGGTCTCCCTCTCTCCCCCTGCCTCGTGATCAACCCCAGCGCCTCCACGTGCGGTGCCCCACAGTGTGGTGTGTCCTCCATCTCTTGGGATCTGTGAGTATAATAAACTACCTTTTTAATGGCAGTTGTTTCCCAATCTGTCGGCCTCACCAAACCTAAATAACACTTATTAAAAAGGCTGAGACTCCACAAGATTTGTGCATACAAATGTTCTCATGGGGCTTCCCTGGTGGCGCAGTGGTTGAGAATCTGCCTGCTAATGCAGGGGACACGGGTTCGAGCCCTGGTCTGGGAGGATCCCACATGCCGCGGAGCAACTAGGCCTGTGAGCCACAACCACTGAGCCTGCGCATCTGGAGCCTGTACTCCGCAACAAGAGAGGCCGCAACAGTGAGAGGCCCACGCACGGCGATGAAGAGTGGCCCCCGCTTGCCACAACTAGAGAAAGCCCTCGCACAGAAACGAAGACACAACACAGCAAAAATAAATAAATTAATTAATAAACTCCTACCCCCAACATCTTAAAAAAAAAGTTCTCATGAACAGCTTTGAGAGAGTGATAGAAAGACAGGGCAAAGGGAGAAATCGAACTGTGATGCAGTCACAGTGGAAGCCTCAGCTGACCCTAGGAACAGCTCTGAAGCTGGGATGGCCCTTCTGAGTTATCCCGCTTGAGGCTAGGGGCCTGGGCTTAGGTACCCTTGCAGAGACGACTCAGAGGCAGCAGCCTGTCCCCAGAGAGGGAATGTGATTTTGCTTGAAGCGGTTCTCTTAGGCAGAGGGCGATTCCTGGAAAGAGACTTCACAGATCCACTACGGTGATACAGAAAGACATATGCTTCTTATTAACACTTTAAAAAACAAGATACACTTACTTTAATTTCAAAGTAGTGATGAACAGTATTTTGAGACAGAAATAACAATCATATGTGACATTATTTCTCTGTGAGTACTATCAGTGCCACATATAGCTAACACTACTAGGATTTGTTGCCTGCCTTCCTGAAGGAAAAAAAGATGCTAAATTTCTGTTACAGGCAAGTGAAAATACAAACCTTCAAATCCACACACCCAGTTAAGAAGACCTGGGGAGCCGGGACCTTGTTTTGTTCATTTTTAGATCTCCACAGTCGGCCACAGTTCTGCACACCTACTGATGTTTCTTGAGTCATTACTATAATTAAAACTGACGGGATACAATTTAAAAGATAGAAATTTTAAAACGAACTCTTCCAAAGCAACGCCTCCACAGCCTAAAACAGCTACAGCAGAGAGCGTCACTCTACGTTAAGTCTCTGGCCCAGCCGAAGCTTCTCTCCGCCCGCTCTGGCCAGGAGGGGCGGGGCCGGGGAGGGACCCTCGCACTTATAGGCCGAGGAGGGAGAGGGCGGGGCCTGCTCCTCCGTGATTGACGGAAGCCCTTCCCTTTCAGCCCGCGTGCCCGCCTTCCACGCGCCCGGAAGTTCCGCCTTCGGAAGAGGAAGTAGCAGCGCGCGAGAGAGCCAGCGGTGACCGGGGCAACCAGCGGTGACCGAGCGAGGGGAAGGTGGTTGCGGCGGGTCGCTGCCACTCCGCGCCGGAGTTGGCGGTTAGAGGCGGGGCCGGCAGCCCGGGACCGGAGTCAGGTGCGGAGGGGCGGGCTGGCTGAGGCCGTGGGGGTCTGAGATCCTGGGATTCGACGGTAGCACGCGCGGGGACCGTGCCAGGAAGACGCTGGCCGCGTCTTGCCCTCTACTGTCCTTTCCTTCCTTCCTTCCTCTAATCTTTTTTCTACGCCATACCCTTCCCAGACTCCTAGACCCTCGCTGAGCTCCAGGGCCGGGGGTCTAATCTGGACTCAGTGGGCTTCCTTTCTCCCATCGGATCACCACCTAGAACCCCCTTCCCCCCAGCCCCGGGCCTACACCCCCTCGCTGTGACATGACTTCTCAGGGACCTCCTCACGTCACCCCCAAAATCCGCACACCCTTAGAAACGTGTCCCCGAAGGTGGTGTAGATTTCACACTAGTATTTCCCAAAGTGGGTGATATGTTAAAGCTCCACTTCGAGGGCGAAGTGGAGGGCGAAGTGGCGTCCCTGCCCAGCGCATTTCCATAAGGATGACGAGGAGGAGAAACAAGCGTTGGCCAGATTAAGAACACTAAGGGGGCTTCCTTGGTGGCGCAGTGGTTGAGAGTCCGCCTGCCGATGCAGGGGACACGGGTTTGTGCCCGGACCGGGAAGATCCCACATGCCGCGGAGCGGCTGGGCCCGTGAGCCATGGCCGCTGAGCCTGCGCGTCCGGAGCCTGTGCTCCGCGACGGGAGAGGCCACGGCAGTGAGAGGCCCGCGTAGCGGAAAAAAAAAAAAAAAACACTAAGGGAGTAGTTGGAGCCCAGGCATCAGCATTAATCTATCTCTTTGCTCTGGCACCTGTGAATTTAGAATTGCTTGGATTCAACACTGCGATTCCAACCATGGGTTTGTCTGTATCTACCCCTGCTGTTGCAGTTCAGACCTCAGATGCTTCAGATCATCAGACAGCAGCCCCGCCTTCGGGATGCCCAATGCATGAAGGGAAAATGAAAGGTAATCTACCATTTGTCTAGGAAATAAAAACGAGAATTTTCAGAAGAATCCTGAGGAGGCAGTACAGCATGCTAGTGAGGCTCCTAGGCCTGGGAGTGAGGCGACCTGGGTTCACTCCTTAGGTTGTTACTTACAAGTGTGTGACTGTAGACAAGTTACTTCTCGAAGTCTGCACCCATCCTCTGTAAGCTGAGGATATAATAATGATATTTCACAGGGTTAGTGTGATGATGGAGATAATGCATGAGAGTGTAGGGATTCTTCCATACATCACCCCCCACCCCCAAAGTTTGCCATTGTCTACTTCAGCCGTTCTCCCCTCCTCACCCCGCAGGACACCTGGCAACGCCTGGAGGCATTTTTGCTTTGTCATAACTGAGAGGAGAGGGTGAGTCTAATGAGTAGAAGCCAGGAGTTCTGCTAAACATCCTGCAATGCACAGTGCAGCCCTTAAAACAGAGGCCCCAAATGTCAAGAGTGCCCAGGCTGAGAAACCTTGGTCTAGATCTCGCTGTCTTTCTTTACCAAGACAGCTTTACTCCTCCATCCGTTGGAGTACTCTCTGTGTAAAACTAAGGCATTGCCGGGACTTCCCTGGCAGTCCCAGTGGTTAAGACTTCGCCTTCCAGTGCATGGGGTGCGGGTTCGATCCCTGGTCGGGGAGCTAAGATCCCACATGCCTCACGGCCAAAAAACCAAAACATAGGGCTTCCCTGGTAGCGCAGTGGTTGAGAGTCCGGCTGCCGATGCAGGGGACGCGGGTTTGTGCCCCGGTCCGGGAAGAGCCCACATGCCTCAGAGCGGCTGGGCCCGTGAGCCACGGCCGCTGAGCCTGCGCGTCAGGCGCCTGTGCTACGCAACGGGAGAGGCCACAGCAGTGAGAGGCCCACGTACTGCAAAAACAAACAAACAAAACAAAACATAAAACAGAAGCAATATTGTAACAAATTCAATAAAGACTTTAAAAATGGCCCACATCGGGCTTCCCTGGTGGCGCAGTGGTTGGGAGTCCGCCTGCCGATGTGGGGGACGCGGGTTCGTGCCCCGGTCTGGGGAGGGTCCCACGTGCCGTGGAGCGGCTGGGCCCGTGGGCCGTGGCTGCTAGGCCTGGCATCCGGAGCCTGTGCTCCGCAGCGGGAGGGGCCGCAACAGTGAGAGGCCCGCGTAAAAAAAAAAAAAAAAAAAAAAAAAAAAGAAGTGGTTCACATCAAAAAAAAAAAGTCATTGCACGATAGACTTGCTGTTCATTTTTTAAGTGCAAAGGGGAGAATGGAAATGCTTTCATTTTTAATCGGCCCACCTTCCGCTTTAGATTGTCCATGTAAAAGTATGGCCTGAATTCACCTGACGTGTGACTTCTTTCAAGACGTGAGGGCAGGAAGCAGTGTTGCATGCTTACTGAGTGCTGACACTCCCTTGTTATGACAGTTATAGCTGTTATATAACAGTTATAGCTGTTCATTCCCTCTGTCGGTCAGCAAGGATTTGCTCCCTGCCCACTCTGTGCCAGGCACTGATGGGTTTTGTGTGTTTGTTTTTGCACCGAGAGAACAGCAGTGTCCGAAACAGACAAAAACCCTTTGCCTAGTGGAGTTTACATTCTCATCCTCATAATCCTGCATGGTAGGTTTTCCCCCTGTTTTATAGTTAAGGAAACTTTCAAGTCACACAGCTAGTAAATGGCAAAGCCAGCGAAAATTCTGGGACCGTGGATAAGGACCAGTCCGGTGCTCTTCCGGGGTTTCTTCATACAGGAAAGAATGGAGGCAGACTTGGACGAAACAGGTGTGTGCCTGATCTGAGCATCCCCAGGAAATCACAGAGCCCTGTGTACGGTTTGATTTCATTTGCTGTGTATCCAAGAGAGCCGTCAGCTGAATTTGCATTAGGAGGGAATGCAGGTATCTGTAGGAGATCGAAGGGGCTAGTGGTTATATAATATGAAAAATGTAAACGGGATTTTCTCTGCAACACCCAGCTGGGACCAGTGACCCAGAGAAGACTGGCACGTGGAATGGTGGCGAGGCGAGGAGATAGCACAGGTCTCCCTCTGCCGCTCAGTAGACAGCTGTACAGGGTCCCAGGCCATGAGGGTCCGGGAGGAGAAGCAGAGCAAAGGGAGTGAAAGGAAACGTCTTTTTTT